CTCCTCCCTCTCTCTCCCTCTCAAATGGTCCTTTGTATTAATTCAGCAGGGGATACAGACATGCAATTTGACTCGTGGTTCCCTTATACCTTCCGACCCATCAACCCATCCCTCTGACCCTCCCCTCCCCCCCCCCCCTTAGTGCCCCTCTAACCCTCCAGCGTGTGGAGGATGTCCCCTAGGTGCAGCGGCCATGGGTCCGCTGCCATGTGGGGGTGCGCTGCCTCAATCCCCGCCCTGGCCTTGGTGTGCAGGGCATTCGCCTGGGAGCGCTGGAGGGCCACTGACCAGCGCTGGCTGAAGTGGCAGGCCATCTTCTTGGCCGATTTGGCCAAGGGGTTGGCCCTGAACCTGTTCCTAGCCGCTGCTGTGGCCAGCAGCTTAAGGAACGCTGTCGTGGGGGGCGCGTTTGCCCCGTATGTCTCGACGGCCAGGGCGCAGAACACCTCGTGTTCGGTGTGCCTGTAGTATTCCCTCTCCTTCCGCCTCTGTGCCTCCCTTGCAGCCCAGCCTGGGGGTTTGCGGGCTGTGGGGTCCCGGTTCTGTAGCACAGGGTCAGTCATAGTCGTGTCTGTGATCCAGGTCTCTCCACTGTCTGGGTCACGCACGATCACATCGGCCTTCTTCGGGTCATCCGGTGGTGAGTACATTGCATTCTCCAGGTATACCACCAGCTGCGCCTCCCTCGCCATTTTTGCCACGGCTAAGGCCAGCTGGTTGTGTGTGCACGTTCTGTCCGGGCCTGTGCTGCAGCGGAGTAGGTGGTTGGGTAGGCTGCAGTCGGCCACGAGCTCTCCACACTCGCACATGGTAGGTACGTTCTGTCGAATGCCCATGCGGAAGGCCAGGGCTGTTCGGAATTGCCCTGGTGAGAAGCAGAGGTCTGGGGTCAGGGGTAGGGCTTGCAGCCATGCTCCCGCTCCCTCGCCTCTCAGGCTGACGAGGCGGAGCGTGTGGCCCATCTCGGGGGCTGACCTGATTGAGCGTGATTCCTCTGTCAGGGTGTCGGCCTTTGCCGCGTGCACTTCCTGAGAGAGGGCCCGCTGCAGCTGGTCTTGGGGCGGGGTTTCTTGCTCCTCACGGAGGTATTGCAGCGCCAGCGGCGGCAGACGTCCCTCCATGTCGAGTTTGCCGCAGACGGCTGCAGGGCGTTGCTGTTGCTCCCTAGCGCCGCGGTTGCTGGCAGGTCGAGTGAGCGGAGCAGGCGTAATGCCTCTGTCGTTGAGGCCAGGTAGGCTGGTGCTGCTTCTGTTGTGGGATCCGTGAGACCCAGTCCACCTAGGGCCACTGGGAGGGTTGCTTGGCGGATGAGAAAATTGAACTCGGCTTCGCGGCGGGGTGGTTGGATGCTGGCGGCAGTCAGGGCGGTGTTGAGCAGTTCGGCGCACCACGCGTGCCATTCCGAGAGGGGAAGGACATCCGCTGGGGTGGTGCGCAGCAAGTAGCCAATTCTGCGGCTGATGCAGCGGGACAGGAGCAGGAGGGCATGCTGTGGATGGATGGATGCTAGGGAGCCCAGGGGTGCCGCCGCGTCTGTCAGAGTACTGCGGACCAGGTCAGCGCAGAAGCGCTGTGACCCCACGGGACTTCCCAACACCCGTACCCCCTCGTGGGTGAGTGGGAGGCCCTCGGGGAGCTCGTCACCCTCAAGCGGCGTCGTGGACCACGCCGACGATTTTCTGAGGTTGCAGGTGAGGCCATCCTGGGCGAGCAGCGGCGTCAGTAGCTTAAGCGCGCCGAGCGTTGCTGTCGCCGGTCCGACCATGGTGATGTCATCTGCGTATGCTAGGATCGTGACTTCTGGGTGCTCTGCTGCTGTGCGTCTGAGGTGCTGCTGGATTGATGCCGCGAACAGCAGGGGTCCGAGGGGGTCCCCTTGCCTCACCCCCCTTCCGCTGGTAAGTGCCGTCGTGCTCAAGCGGGGATCGGTCAGCAGCTGAGAAGGCGTTGCGTAGAAGGAGCGGGTGAAAGGTATGAGCGGTGCTAGCGGGGTGTTGTTGAGTGCGTTGAGGAACGCTTTCCTCTCTACGAAATTGAAAGCGTTTTCAATGTCGAGTTGGAGGACTAGGCTGGAAGGTTGTGAAGTGGTGAGGTCTCTGACTGCATGTATAACGAACTCAGCTCCGCCTGGGACTGCCACACCGAATTGTTGGGGTAAGAAAAATCGCCTTGTTTCTCCTTGCAGTTCCGAGAGTGCCACCTTTGCTGCCAACCGGAGTAGGGATTCCCCTATTGCGATAGGGCGTACCCCCCCCCATGGTTTCGCGAAGGCGATGAGGCGGGATGGCGAGAGTAGTGCTGCAACCTCGGTGGAAAGATTCGTGGAGAGAAGATGTGTTACGGCGGAGTGTAGGTGCCCCAGCACTTCGATGTTGCTTAGGGCTGGGTCGCGGTAGTGTTCAAATGTTGACCCAGATGGACCAGCCCCAACTCCGCTGGGGCAATCCCCAAGGACGTCTGAGAAACTTTCCGCGGTGCACGAAAATTGCGTGGGTGTTGTGTAGGTGTGGACCCAGTCGGGCAGCTCAACTTGGGGTTGGGGATGTTTCAATTCCAACTGCTACAATGTTGCGATCGTCGCAGGGGCCGCTGGCGAGGGTGAAAGGGCTGCCAACGCTTTTCGCAGGTTACCTCGTTTCACCAGCCCCTCCACACGTGAGCAGATTCCCAGGGGGTCGTTTTGGTGCTAAGGTGGCTCAGCTTGGTGCAGGGACCCCACGTAGTCACTGTAGAGCTGGTTCCAGTGGCCACATCTGAATAGGTGCATCTGCTCTCGCAGCACCTTCCACTTAGAGCTGGACCTCCTGCTAAGTCGTAAGGTGAGACGTGGCAGGAACATGAGGCCCCGCCACGCTCCCGCGCAGTTGGGCAGTTTGGAGATCCGTAAGCGGGCGGCCAGCATACAAGTGGAGTAGTCGCTTAGTATCTGCGGCGGCAGGCGGCGATCGATAGGCAGGTGGGTGGTTGACGTTAGGGTTGAAGAGTCCCAGCTGTTCGCAATCTCAAAGAGATCTTCCCTCGATGCCAGCTGGGACGCTGACAGGGCTTGGTCTGGAGGGGGTTGGGGTCTGCGGTTCTGTCGGCGTCTAAAATCCCTCTCCTGCTACTGCGCCTGGTCCTCCCCCGCTTCCGCGAGAGGTGAGTCGGGGTTGTTGGGTTGCCTCAGATCTGACGGTACATATTCGTCGCCGCGCCCTTCTGCGTTTGTATCACCGATTCTCATTGCTTGCGCTGTCGTTCCCCTTCTCCCCCCGCGTCTAGCAAACGACTGGCGCGTGACTCGTTTCCGCCAGCTCCCCCAACCAGATTGGGCTCGGTAGTTGACGCGAAATTCCCCCTCGCCGCTTGGCCTGCACACCTCTGTCCTCCGCGCGCTGCTCGACCCCCGCCTCTCCCCCGCGTGCTTCCCCGTCCGCTCCTCGGAGTGGCTGCCACAGGTGCCGCCTGTTGCCCCTGGGAGATCGGCGTCGTCGGCTCCTCTTGTGGCAGTGGAGCGCCCTGAGCGCTCGCTAATGGATTTCCTCGACGCTCTGGGCCGCGACTGCACCGCGGAGAGTGATCCCGCTCCCCGTCCATTTCCTCCTGCACGCCCTGCCGCGAGCGTACCTGTTGCTCCACCGGCGTCCGCTGATCAGATCCGCCGCCGCTTCGAGGACCAGCAGCGCAAGCTGGTTCGGCGCGCGCTAAACCCTAAACCCTAAACCCTAAATCCTTGTCATCGCCGGAACCCAACGCGGGGTCCGTCTTGCGCTCCGGCGCAGAGGCTGTGGTGCACCAGGGGCGTTCGCCTTGTCGTCGCTCATCGGCTGCTCGCGACGATAAGCGGGAGGGCCGCCGCGATGATCGTCACGGTGCAGCCCGTTCGCCGCTGTCTCCTCGTTCGCCTCATCCCGTGGCGACGCGAAGCCGATCCCGTGACCGTCGTTCGCATCGTCATCGTTCGCCCCCTCCTCCTTCATCTCGCCAGCGGTCACCTACTCGCCAGACGTCTGGGCGTCGGACCCCAACTCCGCGTTCGCCCCCTCCTGCACAGCGCTAGCGGCTCTACTCCCCTCGTCGCGGGGAACCGTTTTCCTGGCCGCCAGCGTCAGCAGTCGCGGGCGACGGGGAGGTGACAGTCGCGGCGGAAAAGCGGGTCCAGCGCCGTCCGCAATGGGGCGTCGTCTTCTGGATAGGTTTGATGACGTGGAGAAGGAGCTTTCGTCGCTTGCGTGCTGGGTCGGTGTCACCATCAGCTTGTCGCGCTGCTCCCGTCATCCCTCTCTCCGCGCTCCTGCCCCACAATCCCTTTGGATTGCCGGCGCGTTCAGAGCGGCCGCTGCCTGCGGGGATGGGCTTCGTAGGTGCTGGTGGCGGGCCGCCGTGGGCTCAGTTTGCTCCGCCACTTCCTCTTCCTACTCCGCGTGATCTCGCCGTGTCATCTCATCGTGCCCGCGCGTATGCGTTGCTTCCGCCGATGAAGGAAGTTCCCACAGCGACCCTGGCCCACCTATGGTCGCTGGCGACTTCCCTGCAGAGCCTTTAGCAGATTCTCCAGGAGTCATTTGACTCCATGCCGGTGCGCCCTCCGAGCAGGTTCTCTCAGAAACCGCGAGCAGATTGTCATGCGGCAGCGTCAGCGCTATTCGCGCTCGTAACGCCACTGCAGGTAGCGCCCGCGCCGGGAGCGACCTCAGCCAGCCAGCTGGCTGACTCAGCCCTGGCACTGAGGACGCTTGTAGCAGGCCCTGGTACTCCTGTTGACGTTGTAGGCACCACCGTGTTTGTGGTCCGCCAGTTGTGGTTGCACACGAGCGGAAAGCTCGCTGCGGTAGAGGCGGACCGCATGTAGGCGTTCCCCCCTTGCGCGTATAGACCCGTTCCATCCTCTACTTGCTAAGTGCGTATGCTTGCTTTGTTTGTATCGGCCGAAGGCCGCCGGCGCGAAGCGCCGAAATTTCCAGCACTAACTGAAAGAATGAGAGATGGAGAGGCAGCCGTGGCCTTAAGTAGTCATGGCAGAGGGCAAAGAGCAGAGGGCAGAGGGTAGAAGGGGAGAGGCTAATCCTCTCTCTCTCTCACTCTCTCGAACAACACCGAAATTTCCAGCACTAACTGAAAGAATGAGAGATGGAGAGGCCGCCGTGGCCTTAAGTAGTCATGGCAGAGGGCAGAGAGCAGAGGGCAGAGGGTAGAAGGGGAGAGGCTAATCCTCTCTCTCCCTCTCTCTCTCCCTCTTTCTCCCTCTCTCCCTCTCTCTCCCTCTCTCTCTCCCTCTCTTTCCCTCTCTCTCTCCCTCTCTCTCTCCCTCTCTCTCCCTCTCTTTCTCCCTCTTTCTCCCTCTCTCTCTCCCTCTCTCTCCCTCTCTCTCCCTCTCTCTCCCTCTCTCTCCCTCTCTCTCTCCCTCTCTCTCCCTCTCCCTCTCTCTCCCTCTCTCTCTCCCTCTCTCTCTCCCTCTCTCTCCCTCTCTCTCTCCCTCTCTCTCTCTCTCTCTCCCTCTCTCTCTCCCCTCTCTCTCCCTCTCTCTCCTCTCTCTCTCCCTCTCTCTCCCTCTCTCTCCCTCTCTCTCTCCCTCTCTCTCCCTCTCTCTCCCTCTCTCACTCCCTCTCTCTCCCTCTCTCTCCCTCTCTCTCTCCCTCTCTCTCCCCCTCTCTCTCCCTCTTTCTCCCCCTCTCTCTCCCTCTCTCTCTCCCTCTCTCTCCCTCTTTCTACCTCTCTCTCTACCTCTTTCTCCCTCTCTCTCTCCCTCTTTCTCCCCCACCTTGAGGTCGCCCGGCACCTCGGCCAGCGGCGGGTGCTCATCGCTGCTGCCTGCTGCGCCCTTGGGCGCCGCCTTGTCCACCACGCCACTCTGCTTCAGCATCGCTGCACCAAGGGGCACAGAGGGGAGAAGGGAGAGACGGGTAGCGGGAGGAAGGCAGGAAGGCGTGAGAGCACGTGCATGCCTCTCCAGCCATGCTCCTGCCCCCTCACAGCCGCCTGCTGCGCCCTTGGGGGCTGCCTTGTCCACCACACCCCGCTTTGCTTCAGCATCAGTGCCAGGGGTGGGGGTTGAACTGGCGTGTGGAAGGTGATAATAGAGAGGGGGAAGGATGGTAAGGGCACCCACCATCTCCGTACTGCCCTCGCCACCAGCCCGCCCACCCCTCATTTCACTCCTAGTCAGCCACGTCACCCTCTCCAACCTTCGGCCCATCCCCCCACCTATTCCTCGCCCCACCACCCTCCTCTCCTCTCTTGACTTATTCCATACCCCTTCCTGCCCTGCTCTCCCTGTATTCATCTGACACGCCACTCTCTCCCTTCACACAAGCGTGCTTGCCCCTCTCGCCCTCAACCCTACTTGCCCCTCTCGCCCTCAGCGCGTACTAGCCCCTCGCGCCCTCAACCCAATCCTACCTTTGAGCTTGTTGCCGCCCTCCCCGCCGCCCAGCACGGGCACGACGGGCCAATCAGCGAAGCAGGCCTTGAAGGCGGGCAACTCGAAGCGCTCCGGCATGCGCACCACTCGCACCGAGGGGGGCTTCTTGCCCACCACCAGCTGCGTCTGATGGGCGCCGCCCCCAGGGCGGAACAACAGAGGGGGGGGGAGGGGGGCGAGGGAAAGGGGAGGAAGAGGGAAAGGGGGAGGAAGGGAGGAGGGGAGGGGAAGGGGGTGCGAGGAGGTGGCATGAGGTGGGGGAAAGGAAGGGGAATGAGGAATTAGGAAAAGAAAAGTGGGGAGGAAGAGGTGGGGAGACGGGAGGTGAGAGAGATAGGGGTTTGACGAGCAGCAGTGGGAGGTTCGGTTGGGTTCCAAGAAGAGTTTGGGGTGGGCTTCAGCATGGAGGATGGGGGATGTATTGCTGATTCAACACACTTGCACTTTCCCCTGTCCTTGCCCATCCATACTCCACCCTCCCCTTCTATCCCCATCCCCCCACTGTCCCACGACCACCCCCTCAATCCCCCGCCCTCCCTCTGTTCCCCGTCCTCCCCACTTATGCGCCCCCCTTCCTCCCCTCTCCCTCCCCCTCCCAACCCCTTCCATCCCCCCCTTCCCTCTCCCTCCCCCTCCCGCCTCGCAGGTCCGCACAGCGCAGGGCAGGGGGCGCGCCTCACCTCAGCGGCGATGCAGGCGGCGCGGCGCTCGTCGAGGGAGGAGATGCGGCCGAACCAGACGAAGACGGTGGGGCCCATGTCCACCAGGTAGCACTTGTTGCCCTCCAGCTGCAGCTTCTTCAGCGCGCCCGCCCCCACCTCCTGCAGCCCGTCGCCCGACACCCTGCGCGCACACAGGGGAGAGGAGTGGGCGGGGCGGAGCGGATGAGGGTGGGAAAGCATCAGGTGAGGTGCGGTTTGGCAAGGGGACAGGGCGGGGACTGGCGAGGACGAGGGGGGGCGAGCAGTGGACGAGGGGGCAGGGTGAAGAGCACTCAGAGACGCACAGCCGCACCGCATGGACGAGTGGGGCGATCGCGAGCACAAGTGCTACCAGTGGTGCACCCGGCAGTGCGGCATGAGTGCTGGCATGCACAGCAGTAAAGCCAAGTCGGGTGGGCTTTGACCAGTGGTGGAGGGAAGGGGGCACTGAACAGTGGATGGGAAGGGGGCACTGAACAGTGGATGGGAAGGGGGCACTGAACAGTGAGAAGGGGAGGGGGGCTGACGAGCGGCGCAGAGGGGTGAAGGGAGGGGTGGGGAGGCCCTGACCAGTAGAGCGTGGGCGGTGTGGGCTTGACCTCGACGTCGTCCTCCCCTTGGCTCTTCTTGGCGATGGGCGCGAAGCCCCCAAACATGTCCCAAAACTCGTTCGACTCCGGATCGTCCAACTTGCCGTCGTCTGATGGCAGGTGGGGAAGGGGAGGGAGAGGAGCGGGAGAGAGGGGGGAGTGGGAGGAAGGGGTTGAGGATGGGGAGGAGAGGGAGAAAAGAGGCAGAGAAGCGCGGGAGAGAGGAGAGGGAAGTGAACGCGGGGAGAGAAGGGGAGAGGAGGGGAGGGGGGAGTGGGGGTACGGGGGAGGTGGAGGGCCATAAGGGAGGGAAGGCGAGTGGAGAGAGATGAGGGGAGGGATGGGAGAGACGAGCAGGAGAGGGGAGAGGTGCGACGGGAGGGTAGAGGGGAGACGAAAGGAGAGGACGGATGAGAGACGGAGAGCTGAAGGGTCAGAGACCAAGCGGATGATAGGGAGAGAAGCGAACGACATGATAGGTAAGGTTAAAGTTTATTGCACCCTTACGGTGGGCCCTCAGCTGAGCTCTTGCAGCTTCGTTTGCCATTATTCAAACGCCAATCGCAATTTTGTGAGACAGCACTAGTCTCCTCCAATCCGCAATCGTGTTTAGCTTGAGGGCAGGGCGTTCCCACTGACCGATGATGGCGATGGGGGCGTTGCCGCCGTACTGCGTGTCCTTGAGCAGCTGCATGACCTCCATGCCCTTGACGCGCTCCTGCTTGCTGGCGTTGGCGCCCGTGAACTGGAACAGCTTGCTGCGCGTGTCCAGCACGAATATCTCCGAGTGCGACAGCGACGACCGCGCCACCGCCACCTGCACGCGGGCACACACGGCGACCAGGGGCGAGGGGCGCGGGGCGAAGGGCGGGGGGCGGGGGGCGATGGGAGCAGGGCGCAGGGCGGGCGAGAGACGATGGGTGAAGGTCGAGGGGCGAGTGGCGAGGGTGGAGGGTTGGAAGAGAGGAGCGACAGCGCTTGAGGGTGGGAGGGTATTGCAGAAAGTGGGAATGCAAGGTCGCATTGGCGTGCGAGCTGGGAATACCTCCGTCACTGCCCCATTGCCTCCTGTCCCTTATCCCTCTCCCCTTCGCACAGTCCGTCCTTCCCGTGCCGCACCTACCACCTACGCAGCTGCTGGGACTCCTCGTCTGCACCGTCGCCGCCAGAAGCGGATATCGAGGTGCGTCCTACATGCAGCGCGAGCCTGAAAAAATCTCGTGCTTCCAGCCCTACGCGCCGAGCCCTCGACCTAGACCGGCCGCAGCGATCCGGATGCGAGCTTGCCAACGGGAGCAGTACCTTCGGGTTCCGCGTTAATCGCCTAATGCGGACCACACCCCATCAGACTGACGTGGACCACACCCCACCTGTCTGACGTGGATGAATCGGCGGCCCTTGACTTGCAGCAGGCGCGGCTGAGACGCCTCGGGGTCGGGGTGGCCCCAGGAGCCGGGAGTGGCGATGATGCAGGGGCGGAAGTAGGAGAGCAGCAGGTCCGACTCGTGGCCCTGCGTCTCGCGGTACTGCGCCGCCTTGCCGCCCAGCGCCGCGTCCAGATCCACCGTCTTGATCGCCGCCATCGCCGCGTCGTCCTGCGCGCGGGGGATGGCGCGCGGGAGAGAGCGGGGGGGTTGGGGGGATTTGGGGGAGGGACGGGAAGTGTGGGGGAAGAGGGGAAGGGGAGGACGGTTTTTAGGCAACCGGCGTGGCGTCCAGCTCCACCAGCTTTATCGGCACCATCGGCGCGTCGGATTCGGGAGGAAGGGAATGTAAGCGGACGAGATAAACGCAGCGGGGACGCGTGGGGATACGAGAGTGGCAACGCAACGCAATGTAGTTCGAAGGCGAGAAGGGGTATCGGGGTGGTTCGAAAGGCTCCATTCGTGGAGTTGCTCGGGTGTAGGGCTCTGATCTGACAGGCACGTTCTGTGAAGATTTGGAAAAGCGCTACAATTCGCGACGAAAGCAATCTGTTGTTCCACGGTAAGCATCACAAGCACGATATAAGTTGCAGCGAATCAAGAGAATGACGCCCGCATTGCACGACACGAATGGGAGACGGGCTGAGCAAACTCCGGTGGTGCTGAGCGCATGGCCCAAGAAGCAAACCGCGCCGTCTCTGGCTTATAATAGCACTCCGTTGAGCGAGGAAGGGGAAGCCAGCAGGGCTCCCAAGGCGACGCAGGCTCACCTGAGTCGTCGACTTCCCCAGCCAGTAGTGAATGGCGTACGTGACCGCGCCGCCGTGCTTCGATCCAGATGTCTGTGCAACGGGAGACGGAAAACATCCAGATGTGATGAATGCGATCACGAGGTGACACGGAAGGGCCGGGTCGCAAGCAATGTTGACAGCTGGAGGCAAATACAAACGAATCAGGCACGTGCTATGTTCGCTCGTTCGTCGTCAATTCACAAAGTTTTCCAGACCCGTGTTCTGTGGCTGTCTGTGCCGTTTCCTGACTAAGTTGGTGTTACTGTCTTGAGCTTTGTCTATCATCGGGATCTGTCGCCCAGCTCGTCGCACCTTGGGCACAATAAACTTGTGAGACGTGTTAAGACTCGCCTCACCTTGAGCACGATATAGGCGTCCTTGGTGAAGAACTTGCCATGGTCGGCCTTGGGAACCGCTACCACTTGACCCGCATCCAGACGCCACACGTCCAGTCCTCTGCGCGGCCAGGCGAACACCAGGCAAGGGTGAGCAATGCTTTCTATGGATGCGATATATATCGCTATTTTTTTTTTTGCTTCTTTCCAAAGAAGCCGTACTGCAATTAAAAGCAATGACATTGTGGTGAATTTAAGAAATGTAGGTAAAGGAAGCTTACGGTTTGTTGCTGAGTCCCTGGAACGCGGGGTCGAGGTCCTTGACGGAGATCGACATGGCAGCTGTCGGCAGGGCACACGTATCTCACTGCCAGGCAGGCGACAAAGGGTAAGTACCTCGCAGCTGGTAGGACAATCTAGGGCTAGGCTTCTACCAACAAGTTCCTAGCCTACTAGCCACGAGTATTTTTCATGAAATGCTTGATGTTGCTCACATGTCTGGAACTATTTGTGGAAAGCAGAGATGAGGATGGCAGGGGGGGGGGGGGGGAGAGGGTAGATTGGGACCAGCAGGAGCAAGGAACTGCACTGCACGGTACAGTAGACGTGAAAAAATTGATATGTTTGTTGGTTCGGCTTGGGCGTGTTTGGTTTGGGAGAAGGGAGACCAGGCGATTGGCTTTGGCGTGTTGCTTGCTTGCGCCACACCAACACGCTCTCTCTGCTCCCTGCCCAACCACGAACCAGCCAACCAGACGCACGAGAAGCGCAAGTTAGGGGACAATGTGGGGCTGCCCGCTCGAAAGCACCAAACCACCGTGGATGACCAACCAGGGCAAGAAGTTTTCCAGTTTGATGCACGGCGCGCTGCGGTGGGAAGGAGCGGAGTTTGGGGGGATAAGTATGTAGGGTGCTCTCTGACACGGTGGGGACATGTGATGTGGAACTCACATAAGGTTCTCCAATTGAAAGTGGGATGCGGTTACGAGTGCAATTGAGTGAGCGAGCGAGAATTGCACTATCTAAGCAAGAAGTACAATGAGCGAAGGAATGAGCGAAGAATATATATAGCGAAACTACAGTGGTAACGGTAATGGACTGTGGTTGTCGCGCGACGGGCTTGGGACTGAGGTTTGGGAAAGTGTCGAAGCGGAGGCCCGGAGCGCGGGTTACCCGCCGAGCCGTGAGGTCGGGGTGCGGCGTGCGAAGGTGGCGGGAGGATTGTCGATGCGAGGGTTGCGAGTGGTAACGGTGCTGACTGTGGTGCTACAGTGGTGTACGCGCTGAGCGAGGTCGCGAAGTAAGGAAAAGGAATTTTCCTTACAGATGCCCACGAATCAGAAGCCCAAAATGATCTAACCACCTATTACAAAGCGGATTATTATAAATGGATGCGTTCTGTAGGCATTTCCCTTGGGAGGGAGGTGGGGGGGCGAAGGGAAATGACGAGGGTTCCGAAGCAGTTTCCCCTTCAAATCCAGCCCCCCCCCCCGCGCTACAACCGAAAGTGGGAAATTTCGGTTGCTCGGTGCGAAGCTTCTAAAGGTAAATGACGAAAAAACAGCCACAATTTCCACGCACAGAACATGGGTAGATAAAGCTGCGCGACATCAGAAAAAGGGTTGCAGTTTAGAGAAGGGCAACCACGTGGAAAAAAAACGCCCCCAAGCACACCCACCTACAATACACAAACCTCACTGTTTTTTATACTTGTTAGTTTGCTACGTCCCTGTTTGGGCTACTCGAGGGAGGGGTTGTTTGCTTTTGTTACAATCCCAAGTGGGACTTAGCGAAGGATCGCTCAGGGTTGATTGCAGAGTAGTGTTTGCAGCGGAAGTTTGAATCTCAGGTCAAGGTGAATGTAAATGACTGAGTTGATACGAACATGCATACACCGGGTTTATATAAGAGTACAGGGGAATACGAAAAGACCTAGATTAGCCATGTACTCTAAGGGGTACATTCCCTTATTGCAGCGAATTTCAAACCGTGCGGGCGGGAACCCGTTTCAAACCTGTTCCCGCTCTTTTCACTTCAAATGTTTCTGCCTGCATTGGTCTTGGTCAGACGGTTGCTACATCGCTTCGACTCTTCTGACTCCTCGACTTCGTACTCGGTAGAGTCGGCTCCTGCAGCATACATGAATGCCTTCTCATAAAGTTTCATATCGTAACACTCCCCTTCATTCCTAGGCGCACGTGGAGCTGACTCGCTTGACTACTCCGGTGAGGTTGGAGCAGTGCTTGTACTGCTGACGTGGCAGACGCTTGGTGAGGAAGTCTGCTGCCATCTCAGTAGTCGGGCAGTAGGCGAGGTCAACTTTTCCTTGGTCAATTTCGTCCTTGTCGAAAAAGTACCAATGTGCGATGTGCTTCGTGCGGTTCACGAAACCTGGCTTGTTTGCGATCCTGATGGCACTCAGGTTGTCGCAGTGAAGGCGAAAAGTAGGCGAGGTCGGAATCTTCGCCTTCTGTAGCAGCTCTTGCAAGTACAGGCCTTCGCGAACTGCTGCTGTCGCGGCGATGTATTCTGCTTCAGCCGATGACAGGGCAACCAGCTCCTGCTTCTCTGAGTTCCAGGAGATTGGCCCAGTTGATTCCAAGCAAAAAACGAAGCCAGTTCGGGACCGTCTGTTAAAGAACGAGGAAATGAATGCACTAGGAAACAGGTGGGTACAAGTAGGAAAACCTAAAAGTGTTGTACCCCATATTATCTACCCCACTACAGCCTACACAGACTATAGCATATGAGTTTGAAACACCCCCATAGGCAAAGTGGGGGAGAACAAGAGGTCACAAGACCAGTCAAGCAAAGCACAGCAAGCTCAGGGTGGATCACAACGTCACCACACATTCCGAGCACAAGTTCAAGGCCACAAGGCCAGTTCACATGCAAGATTATATATAAAGGTAAACAAGCAAGTGCAGGTATAGATAGATCATAGTACAAGCAAGGTCAAGAAGTGAGCAAGTGAGGCCAAGTAGGCACAAGACCTAGCATCGTACAAAAGCGCTGATGATCACAAGGCTGAAGTGCCTTGGTAAAGATATCAGCAGTGTTGGCCTGAGAGGCCACGTAGGCAAGGCGCAGCTGACCACGCTGCTGCAGCTCACGAGCAAGGAAGTAGCGAAGAGCAATGTGCTTCGTTGTGTGCTCCAGTCTGTGCTCCCGACACAAGGCCAGCATGGCCTTGTTGTCTACGTACAGAACTGGAGGAGAACGAGGCGGCTCTCCTAGGTCAGTCAGCAGGTAGGTGAGCCAGCGTAGCTCCTGTGCAGCCATGGCCCCTGCGTAGATCTCAGCCTCACAGCTGGAGCCGAGAACAGAAGACGAGCGGGTAGACCGCCACGAAACAGAGCCGGAACCAAGGCTGAAGGTGTAACCCTGTGACGACCGCTGTGTAGCCTGGTCGTCAGCCCAAGAAGCGTCTGCGTGCCCAGTGAGGACCACTAAACGCCGCCCTCCAAGGACTAGCCCCATGCCCGACGTACTGCACAAGTAGCGCAACACCCTCTTCGCTGCAGCCATGTGCTCTGGTCGGTGTCTCCCAGGAGCAACATAGCGTGCCAAGATGCTAAGAGGGTATGCAAGGTCAGGTCGAGTGCAGGTCATCAGGTACATGAGGCAGCCAACAAGCTCTGGGTACGGGCCACTCGGCTCTACGGACTCATCCGAAGGCAGAGCTGAGAGCGAGTGGCGAGTAGACAGAGGAGTGGCCTGAGGCGAGGAGTACGTGAAGTCAAAGCGCTGAAGGACCTGCTGCACCATGTGTGACTGAGTCAGGGTAATGGTGCGCTGTGCTCTGTCCCGGGTGATCTGCAAGCCAAGGTAGCTGCGCAGTTCACCCAGGTCTGTGCACGTGTGTCTCTTCTGCAGCTGGGACTTCACGTGGGCGTGTCCAGCAGTGTCAGCAGTAGCAAAGACCAAGTCGTCGACGTACACGAGGATGCAGAACGGCGGCAAAGAGGTGTCGGTGCGTAGAAACAGCGACGGGTCGCCAGTAGAAGGAGCAAACCCAAGAGCCGCAAGTGTAGTCCTCAGTGTGTCGTGCCACTCACGGGGCGCCTGGCGGAGACCGTAGACTGGCCGCCGGAGGCTCCACTGGGTACCAGGAGGAAACGACCCAGTGAAGCCAGGTGGGCGGCGCAGCCAGATCTCCTCGTGCAGGCTGCCCTGTAGGAAAGCAGTGCTGAAGTCAAGGGAGTGAAGCTCGTAGTCGCGCTGAGCGGCTATGTGCAGCAGCACCCGAAGTGTCAGAATGTTATTGTATACATCACTTTATAACTGCCTGCAATGTAGACTTAGTGTAGTTATCTTGCTTGTTAGGTGGTGCACCTTGCTTCACTTCTTTCATATTTGTACCCTTGAACCTATAGTGAAACTCTCATTCTCCTTTACAATTTTCTCGACACTCTCCTCACCCTCGAACTTAACTACCAAGGCTCCTAAGCTATGGCTCCTAAGCCCACCTAACTCTACCTATTACTCTCACATGGAATCAGAGCGACTACGCTCTTGGCCTGTGGGCCCCAAGTGCTTCCGCTGCTTTCTTTTCTGTCGCGCGCCCCGTGGCGCGCGACACTTTTTTCTTCCCGCCACGCGCTCGGGGCGCGTGGCGGTTTTCCGCCCGCCGTGCGCCCCGGACGCGCGGCGTCTTCCTGCCCCGACGCCGCCCTTCTCGGCCCCTCACGGCCTCTTCGCGGCCCCGTCGCTGCTCCTCTCACGGCCCCTCGCGCTACCCTCAGTGGCCCCGTCGCCACACTTCGCGGCCCTGTCGCCGCCCCTATCGGCCCTGTCGCCACTCCTAGCGGCCCCGTCGCCGCCCCTAGCGGCCCCGTCGCCGCCCTTCTCGGCCCCTCGCGACCCCTTCGCGGCCCTGTCGCCGCCCCATCTCGGCACCGTCGCCGCCTTTAGCGGCCCCGTTGCCGCCCCTAGCGGCCCCGTCGCCGCTCTTCGCGGCCCCGTTGCCGCCCCTAGCGGCTCCGTTGCCGCCCCTTGTGGCCCTGTCACCTGCTCGTCGCGGCGCACCCCCCCCTGGCCGCCGCCTCTGCCTCCCTTGCGCCCGTGCCTGCTTTGCAGCAGCGCGCGGGCCTGCCTTGCAACAGCAGCCGCCCCTGGAGCAGCCACCCCAGCAGCAGCCGCCCCAGCAGCAGCCGCCCCTGGAGCAGCCGCCGCTGCAGCAGCCGCCCCTGGAGCCGCCGCCCCTGGAGCAGCCGTCACTGCAGCAGCCGCCCCTGGAGCCGCCACTGCAGCAGCAGCCCCTGGAGCAGCCGCCCCAGCAGCAGCCGCCCCTGGAGCAGCCGCCGCTGCAGCAGCCGCCCCTGGAGCAGCCGTCAC